ACCATTTTCATTTTTCAGAAGCTCCCCTGGGATGATATGAGAGGCACTAGTTAAAAAAAAAAAGGAAAAGGAAGGATAAAAAGGAAGAAACCAATTTTTAATTTTTGATTGCCCCACCTTTCAATAAACTCATAAAACAGTGGCATGAGTGGCATGGCCTCTGTCTCCAGTCCTGGCTCCTGAATTCATGGTAGAAAGCAGAACCTCACATATTTATAGCCAGCATTAGGAAAAGACTTGCAAGTTTATTTTTTTTTTCTTCACATAAGAGAAGTCTGAGGCAGGCATTGAAGTGCCAGAAAGGAGGATTTGTGAAGTCACCAGCTACCCTGGTTTCTTCATAATGTTGGTTGGTTATTATGATCCAAGGTGGCTGCCATACTTTCCATCAGTGGATCAATTAATCCTTGCAGGATGGAGAATGGAAAGAAGTAAAAACCCCCTCCGTTTATGACATGCAAACTGGTGTCAAGGGTCTGTGTACACCTCCTTAGCCAGAGCTTAGTCCTGTGGCCACGTTTGGATATCTGGAATACCGAGTTTTAATTTATTTTTCTACCTGAACAGTAACATCCTGAGTAAAACAAAATAGAAAGCAGGAAAAGAAACAAACAACACCAAAAACATCCCTTCAGGATTCTGTTACTAAAACAAAGAGACTAATCATGAGGGTACTTCTGGTCTCTGCCACAATCATTCATCCACATAAGCATTCTAGATTCCCTTACCTCTTGATGAGGAATTTTCCAATTTTCAAAACCAACTGTCATGACTTTCCTTCTTGTTTATACCTCCTCCTGCTTGTAGTCCCCAGAATTGGTGTGAAAAAACCTGATTGTAGACTAATCCAATTTTATGTACTTGGTAATTTTCTGCAATTGGGTTTCTACTTTTAATAGCCAATTAATATACAATAGTCAAGCTATGGAATTAGCCTAGGTGTCCAGCAACTGATGATTGAATAAAGAAAATATAACACAATGGAGTATTATTCATCTGTAAAGAAGAATGGAATTGTCATTTGCAGGAAATGAATGGAATTACTGCTCATTCAGTTGAGGTAGAAAAGCCAGCTCAAATAGCCAAATACCATATGTGTTTACTAATATGCAGAATCTAGACCTAAAATAATGATGATAAAAATGATGATAAAAATGGTACATGGACATAAAAGGGAGACTGTCTAGTGGGGGGGGAAATTACCAGGTGTAGGGGGAATGGAGAGGGTGCTCAAGGTGAACATGACTGAAGTACATTCTTTTTATATGTATGTAGTTATAATGAACCCCAATAAATACTGTTTGAAAAAGTGGAGAAGTGGGGGGTTAAGATAGTGTAACATAGAGGGGAACTTGATCAAAGTACATTGTACGAATCTATGGAAATACCACAATGAAACCACTTTGTACAGTTAATGTATGCTAATATAAATAAATGTATGTGTATATGTACCTGCACGTACACACGTATATTTGTGGATTGACAGTTCCTGTAATCGGTTCCTTTTAAATTTTTCATCTTCCACTGTAATTGGATATCCGTCCCTCTTTGTTTTTCCTTTCTTACAAATAAGTTGTGTGTCTTCCTAGTGTGTCTTTATGTGCCTCAGTCTCAGTTGTGTTATGAGTAGCCTGCACACCTAATGTGGAGACACCATTGCTCTCTTCTCTGCTTTATTGAGCAGTTTGATCAAGGGCACAGTGTGCTCTGTAAATACCTGTCAAATGAATAAATACTCAGTTTTCCTTTTCTCTTACTTCTCTCCCCATACTTAGAATACAAGCATGTTTCTATGCTTTACATTTTATGAAGAGGTGTTCATTCCTCCTTCTTAATCTCCTGTTTGTTTACTAACTCCTTGGTCTCCCCTCTTGAGTCTCCTTCTGTGTGTTTTCAGATTTTTCTTTGAGGCTTCTATTCCCCCTCCATTAGCCTCTTATCCTTGTGTAGACTCCTTGGATTTCTGTAGCATTCTGTGTTACTGACAGCACATTTTTAGAAATACTCTTAGTTCTTTTATCTTCCTGGCTTTTCCCTCTGCATTTCCCTTGTCAGCCTTCTGCTCTGTGATGGTGAGCAAGCCTAGTGATTTTGCCTTCCTTCTTTGTTCTTTCTTCTCTCTGTCCTTTCTTTTCAGCACCTCAGTAGTCAGTCCACTCTTTTACATTCAGCTGCTGACTCTGTATGGATGCTTACCAAATATGCACACAGTGATATTCCGGCATGTTTGTTGTATACTTCCTTAGAACCTCAACTTCAGTTCCTCAGTCATATTGAATGTTATGTTTAAACTTATGATGTTATTATTTATATTCTAGATTCACATTAGTAGGGAATTGTTTCTGAGATTTGTCATAGTTAGCTAAAGGATAGCAGCTGCTTCTGAGCTATTTTCTTTGTCTGGAACGTCTTTTCCTTTATTCTTTCCAACTTCTTTTTCTTTGTAAGATCAAGTTCAAAAGTCTGCATTTCACAAAGATTTCTAAGATGACACCAGACTTTATCGACTTCCCAGCCTTCGAACTCTTGCCTTTCGCATTGATCTGTTTTTCTGGCACTCTTCGTACACTTGTATTGGTGAATAAATTGTCTCTATTATAAATGTCTTATCTTCAATATACTTTTAATCTTACTGCTCTTTGTACTCCAAGTGCCTGGGATGTAATTGACACTTAATAATGTTTCTGTGGAAGATGGCATATCCTTTTCATTTCCTTATCTTGTTCTTTTCTAATAGTGAGATTGCTTTTAAAACAATTAATTATTGTTATCACCAAATATTTCTTTTCCATAAATGAAATAGGGAGTGTTGGACTGAGCTTAAAGACAGTTTTTCAGCAGCTTGACTGCATGTTGTTTTCTGCTGTTTAAAAATCATTTATAAAAGTCATGAATGATTGTTCAAAAAGTAACTTTTCTCCATATTTATTAGATTTGGGAGTGATGTCTAAAAATCTGGAATAAAAGAGTCATTAAAAACACATAGTATTCCCACCAGCAGTGTAAGAGGGTTCCTTTTTCCCCGCATCCTCGCCAACACCTGTTGTTGGTGGTGTTTTTGATAATGGCTCTTCTAACAGGGTGAGGTGGAATCTTAGTGTGGTTTTGATTTGCATTTCCTTTATGGCTAGAGATGGTGAGCATTTTTGCATGTGTTTTTTTGTTCATTTGAATTTCTTCTTTTGAGAAAGTTCTGTTTAGTTCAGCTGCCCATTTCTTAATTGGTTCATTGATTTTGGGAAAGTTTACTTTCTTAAATTCTCTGTATATTCTGGTTATCAGTACTTTGATGTGTAGTTGGCAAATATTTTTTCCCACTCTGTGGGTGTTCTCTTCAGTTTAGAGACCATTTCTTTAGTTATGCAGAAGCTTTTTAATTTTATGAAGTCCCATTTGTCCATTCTTTCTCTTAGTTGCTGGGCTGCTGGGGTTCTATTGAGGAAGTCCTTGCCTATACCCAGTAGTTCCAGAGTGTTTCCTGCTCCTTCCTGTACTAACTTCAGAGTTTTGGGTCTGATATTAAGGTCCTTGATCCATTTTGAGTTGATACTAGTACAGGGTGATAGACATGGATCTAGTTTCAGTTTCTTGCAGATGGATAACCACTTTTCCCAGCAGCATTTGTTGAAGAGGCTGTCTTTTCTCCATCAGATATTTTTTGGTGCCTTTATCAAAAATAAGGTGGGTATAGTTGTGTGGATTCACATCTGGGTCCTCTATTCTGTTCCACTGGTCTTCATGTTTGTTTTTGTGCCAGTATCATGCTGTTTTTATTTCTATTGCTTTGTAATATAGTTTGAAGTCAGGTATTGTCATACTGCCAGCATTGCTCTTTTTGCTGAGTATTGCCTTGGCTATTTGTGATCTCTTGTGTTTCCAAATGAACTTCAGGGTAGATTTTTCAATCTCTGTGTTGAAAGTCATTGAGATTTTGATGGGAATTGCAAAACATATAGATTGCTTTTGGTAGTATAGCCATTTTTACTATGTTGATTCTTCCAATCCATGAGCATGGGAGATTTTTCCATCTTCTGTAGTCTTCCTCGATCTCTTTCTTCAGGGGTTTGTAATTCTCCTTGTAGAGGTCATTCACATCTTTTGAACCACTCTGGAAAAAAATTTGGAGGCTTCTTAAAAATCTAAACATAGATCTGCCATATGATCCAGCAATCCCGCTCCTGGGGATATACCCAAAGGAATGCGACACAGGTTACTCCAAAAGCACCTGCACACCCATGTTTATTGTAGCGCTATTCACAATAGCCAAGTTATGGAAACAGCCAAGACACCCCAGTACTGACAAATGGATCAAGAAATGTGGTATTTATGCACAATGGAATTTTACTCAGCCGTGAAGAAAAATGAAATCTTACCATTTACAAGTAAATGGATGGAACTGGAGAACATCATTCTGAGTGAGGTTAGCCAGACTCAGAAGACCAAAAATCATATATTCTCCCTCATATGTGGTTTTTAGATCTAAGGCAAATACAGCAATGTTGTAGGACCTGGGTTACATGACAAGGGGACATATACGGGAGGTACGGGGTTAGATAGAAAACTGAAACCATGAAAGCATTTGATGTCCCCACTCCAGAGGAATTAATACAGAAACCTTAAAGCGACAGAGGTCAACACAAGAAGGGGATCAGGAACCAGTGTAAAGATCAGTTAGAGATGAATCAACCTCGGATGTAACACATTTGTACATGGAAGTAATGTTAGGAATCTCTCTGTATAGCTGTCCTTATCTCAACTAGCAAAAATGCTATGTCTTTCTTAGTATTGCTTATTTCTATTGTTCAAGGGAAATGGAGAAAAGCTCAGAACAGATTCTGCCTGGAAGCAAGGGGGAGGGGGCAGAGAGTGGGGCTGGGGGGCAGGGGGAAGAAATTACCCAAACAATGTACTCACATGTGAATAAATGAATAATAATAATAAAAAAACACATAGTAGAATTTTGTGAAAACATATAAATGGTTCAAAGTTTATCCCCTTAGGGGTGAATGGAAAGAGAGACAAAGGGGAAATATGTGTGAGAGAGAATGCGTGCCTTCAGACCCACACCACTTGGTAAGTGATGTCTGATGGTATAAAACCAACCAGGTGGAAGGGTAGTTGTATCAAAGTGGTAGAAACACCATAAGCATGAGAATTTATATCGAGTCCTTCAACTCCTACGAAGTGAAGTTTAACCAGTTATTGTTGGTGAATTATTTTTATAATTGTTCCTCAGAAACATAGGAATGTGACAGACATACTGAGCAAAGTAGGCTGTATTAATATTTGATTCCTCTAAAAACAAAGGTATGAGAAGGTCGCTATGCTTGACATGTAGGTCTGTATGCATTGGAAATCTGGGCTAGTAGGTTATGATTCCAGATACAGGTGGGGGAGGGGACTCAATTCACTTATTTATTTTACCTTTTTTTTTCCTGTAGGAAGTTTGAAGTACTGCCTTGTGATTCTTAATCAGCCTCTAGATAAATGTTTTCGCCATCTTTGGAAAAAAGGTAAACTTAATTACTATTTATATTTCTTTGCCTTTTTACTCTGAGACTGAATAACATAACTGTTAGGTACACTGGAAAGCAACTGAAACATCAAAAAATGGAATTCAAAATGAGGTGGTTCAATTACTGAATTGTGAGAAGAATTTATTTTTGCTTCTATATGAATCTGTTAATGTATATTATTGCCAGTATGGATCTTCAAGGACAGAATATTGTATTTCAAAACTTAGTATGTGGGAATTAATTCTGACTAATCAGTGAATATTTGTTCAGGTGTAAATGTTGTTGGCACCAATGATAACAGAAAGGCATCTGCATGTATCACTTGTCTTCATTTCCATTAGTAAGGTATGTATAGGGTGATCTGATTTGCAAAATTAAAAAAATAATACATGCTGCCTCTTAGAATTTGGATGGTCAAAAATATAGTTACAAATGAGATGGTTTCGTGCAATTAATGCTAGTGGGAATTTCATGTAAGAAACAGACCTTGTTAACTGTTTATTTATATTATTATTTGACTTCCATTAGATTAACTCTTGGCTGGAAAATAATATTCAATATCACTCATTGTTTTTAACACCTGTTCTAAGTCTTAAGTCTCTGTCCCCTAATGAATACTCTTCCTGAATTATCAGTGTAAGTTTTAGATCAAAGTAGATAGGCAGAAGAAATTGATTCTTGATATATTGATGTATATTCTAGTTGTTATTCTTGATCTCTTATCATTACAAAGTTTAGTATTCTCCACGTTAAGTTTACATACACAATGCAAACTTACGCTCACATCTGTAGACAGAGGTCATTGTGATGCTACAGGGAATAAATAATTACAAACAATAATATATAAATAATTTTTCTTATCCGATATTATTGCAATGAAAACTCTTGACATTCTAAATGTAGCTCTCTTTGTTAGTCAGCTTATAATTTTACATTGTAATTGTAATAACATTGGCCTCAAGGTTTAAAAATTATCTGACAGTCAACTTTTCTTTCTCAGTACTTGCTAGTAATTAGATAGTTATTAGTTTGCCATAGGCCTTCAAGTCTTTTTTGGTTTCAGTGCCTAGTGTCTGCCACATAATTTCTTAGTAATTACTGTAAATGAAAGAGCAAATTTCATATGGTTCATACTACCAGTAAATAGTGAATAAACTGATTTAGGCATATCCTTTTTTATCTGCATTTATGCCAGATTTTTTTATAGCATTGTTCGAACAACATGTAAGTGACTTTTATTGCAAATATTAGAAATAAAATAATCATTGATTTGGACAGTTGGAAGCCTTGGATTTTGAAAACCACATCTTAAGAAGTCTCTTTGGGTTTGAAGCACTAAAACTCCACTTCACCCATATTGTAAAACAATGTAGTTTTTTGAGCTGACCAAGGTTCCTCATTTGGTTGTTTTTTCCACAGTGAATTAGATTTGAAAAAATCTCATGCCTACATGCACCAACTAATTATTTGATTTGCATAAAAAAGAAACTTGTTCGGTCTGTACATGGACAGTACTAAAGGTGTCTAAAGTACCAGTATACCAATATGGTTAGTTAATTCTCATGTCTGAAATAAATTTTCTCTAGGTTATTGAAATGGTAAGTTCTTTCAAAAATATTTCAAGGATAATTCCTGGCTTTCTGGAGCCTTTAACTGGTATAGGAAGTAGGTATGTTAGTAAATTTTAAACAGAGGTGGATGAGCATTTTGTGAAATAAATAACAAAAGCTATAACTTTGTGATTGTAGTGTTCCCTTTTGTGTTGCCTTTCTTCCAAGTGAAGGCAGTACAGTAGGGAAACTTCAAGCTTGAGTTGATTTTAGTATGAGAGAGAGCTTAGGAAAAAGTGTAGGGTGTCTTAGAGAGTTTGGGAGTGGCTATAGCGTTGTAGTTTGATATATGAGGCAGTAAGTAATGGCTAGAGGCTGCTGTACCCATTATTTTTTAGTCCATATGCCCCACACTTTTTGTAACTTCTGCTCTCTGATTGTTAAGATTTGTGAAGCACAGAAATCTAGGGGTGGAAGCTTGGTTGTTAAACTAAAACAGAACAATTTGTGTTGCATAACCCTCATAAAATTGAAAATATAGCATGTTAAATATTTCCTGAGATTCATTTCAAGGAAAAGAGTACTTTGAATGTTTACTTTTTGTTTACTATTGCAATATTTAATTGCTATCAGTTAGGAAACTAAAATGCTTAAGAAAGGGGATCAACAGTGGCTAAAATATTGGAGGTTTTTAATTATTTTCCTTTCTAATTTTAATGACTTGGGTAGATAGAGAGTTAAATAGAAGTATAGTTGTTATCTAACATTTCTGTAAATATCAGTGGCTGTTGGAATTTGGAAATGGATATTGCTCTCAAATTTCTTGAACCATTTTTTTGTGGGTTACACCTTCTATTTCAGTAAATACCTTTCTTAGCCTGAAATATGTGATAAATGGAAACTATAGAGATGCTGTGTTTGGAGGGTTGTGCTTATTTCTGGTTGTATATCACTGTTTTTAACTTGGGTTATGATGCTACTAGGGGCCTCAAAGTTAGTGGTAGAGAGAGGTCTATGAGCTGCATAAAATTAAAATCAAGCAGATGTTACAGATGCATTTTCATCTGAAGGAAGTTTATGTAGATCAACCACATATTAGTTTCCAAAAAATTTGGCTTTTTTTTTTGTGGTATTGGGACTTGAACTCAGGGCCTTCACCTTGAGCCACTCCACCAGCCTTTATTGTGATGGGTATTTTTGAGATAGGGTCTCGCCAACTGTTTGCCTGGGGGCTGGCTTTGAACCATGATCCTCCTGATCTCTGCCTTCTGAGTAGCTAGGATTACAGGCGTGAGCCACTGGCACCTGGCAGAATTTGGCTTCTTAAAACAGGTCAACAGGAGTTCATGAACTTTCTCTGTTTTTTTCATGTGCTCCACAGAACGGTGCTGAGCACGTTAACTAGATATAAATAGATGATCAGATTATGTGAGCACAAGGTGGTTATATCTACTGTTACACTGTTTCCTCTAATGAAGAATTAATTTCCTTAAATTGATTTCTTTCTTTTTCTTCTTCTTTTTTTTTTTTTTTTTTGGTAACCATCCTAAGATTATACCAGAATATGTGCTTCATATCCTGATTGGTTTCTGATAAGGTTTAAGTCATTTTACAAATCACGTCTGTCATAATACAAATATGAAATTTTTATGAAGCCCATGTTACTTTACTTTATTTCTCAAGATTCAGTTAATGGGAGTGAGGCCAGTATTTACCAAAAAAGGAAATGGAAGACCAAAAACCAGTGTGTCATGCACAGTTATCATAAATACTATTTCTTGAAGCCTATACATATATACACATACACATTTCCACATGTGGTAGGAGGTGTATTTCTCCCTGGAGGTCATGATTAATCATTGCCACATTAAAAATGACACCAGCTGTGATGAGTGCTTCTCACTGTGCCAGAGCATTCTATGTGAATATTACAGTGTAGCGCTGCAGATGTTCTGTGTTCTGAGTGAGGCTGTTGAGGCACAGAGGTAATGGGTCAGGGCTGTCTGTTTCAGGGTTTCAGCTCTTAGTGGTTGTTTCTTCCAAAGACCATCCCACCTCCCCTGCCACAGAAGCTTTTTTTCCCAAGGGGATAAGAAGCTTTCATAAAGCCTGGGACACTAAGTGTATTTCATGGAAATGCCACTAATTTAAAGGATACTGAGTCTTCATCTACATGTTTAGAGGGGGCTTCTGTGGACATTTGTGCTAGCAGTAGCTTGTAACTGTAGAATTGATGGTTTCCTATCTAAAAGATTGTAAGCTCCAAAGCTTATTTGTTAAGGAATGTTACAAGAATTCTAAATCTCTTTTATATTAAGTGTTTTGTCAGAACAAATATAAAACAAACATTTGAAAGTAGTAAAAAAATGTGAATGGAAATATTCGTAACCTTTTATTTTAGAGTAAGTAATGTGAATAAATCTCAAATGAACTAGCTAGCATTGAACCATCATTTTTCATAGTTACAGAGGTATATGTAGAATCCTTCTTATGACATTTTATGATCTTATGCCTTTTGTTTTGCTTTAGTAATCACATGTCATGAGATATTATGGGAATTTATGCTAAAATCTAAAGAACTTCATATTTGAAATGCACTTATAAATCTTGTGCTTAACTTTCTAAATTCATGGTAGTGGATAGGAACGCTTTCATATTATAAAAAAGAAGTCATTTTTGGGTACCAAGTTTCACAGTGTTACATTTTTCCATGTTTGCTTGTATTTCTTTATTCAGTGAGTTCCAAGCATCTGCTGTGTCCAACAGTGTACAACCTCTGTAGCTAGCACCAAGGAAGATACAGGTCTTGTTCTTAAAGAACTTATAATCAAGTGGTAAATGTGTGAAACACACCCCAAAGTTATCGTGGAAGTTAATTGAAAGACAACAGACTCATCTGGAATAGTTCATGAAATTATCCTTCTACCACCACAGAAAAGTTACTTTGAGATTTTATTTTGAAGAGCAAAATGTCCAAAATGCATCTTCCCCTTTTCTTCTCCCTTTTGTAGCACAGGAGTATTTTAATTTGCTCTAGTGTGGTATGCCCTTCAAGATGTTCTTGGGAGTTCAACAGATATAGTAGAAGATAAATAAGGTTCAATTGCCATCAATATTTGGTTGTATTGAAAAAAAAAAGTACTGGTCTGGCATGGTGATGCATGTCTACAATACCAGAACTCCAGAGGCTGAGGTAGGAAGATCGAGACTTTGAGGCCAGCCTAGGCTACATAGTAAGATTCTATCTTTAAAAAAAGTGTTGATAATACTATATTTAAAAGTATATTTCTCAAAACTAACACCGGCATCACTATATTTATAATGTATGTATTATGCTGTGGGATCATTCATTAGGTATTCTTAGAGTATATAAAACTAGTTACAAGCCAAGCTGGTCTTTGTCCTTACGATTGCTTTGTACATCTTTTTATACAGATCATTAGTACC